AATGTGTCAGTTATTATGGAAATAGTTATTTTTATTACCTAAGCCATGCTGTTAACTGGGAGAAAAACCAAACCAGGGCTTGGTATTACAGCTGCCTGTTCCCTTAGCCATTTTCTCCCAAAGTCTTTCCTCTGTCCCTCCGCGGGATGCTGCTCAGCCCTCTCGGGTGGTACCTTGACTGTGAAGTATCATTAATGAATGATCGTTAATGAACGCATTGCCTAAATTCAGCTTCTGGGAGGGCTGCCGTCAGCCTTTCTGGGAAGTTTGTCTTTCCCCCACGCTTGGCTCGTCTTGAAATGCCGCACGCGGGTAGCAGAACAGGTTTAGATTCCTGTTACCGAACAGGACCAAAGGTGAATACATTAGTGGAAGTCCTGAGAGCTTTGAACTTGGCAATTATAGGCCGGGGTATGGAAAAGGCTAATTGTAAAGAAGGGATCTAATTTGTTTTTCTTCCATAAGTGAATGTGATTTTACAGTTGAAAGGCCCAGACGCATCTGTGTTATCTCAAGCGCTTCTCCCATGCGATTCTCCTTGTCGTTACTTGTACTGGTGTCTTTGATACTGAACTTTTCTGATATGGCAGAAGAACAAAGGTGCTTCGGGGCTCTGGCCACCGGGGATTCGGTTGCTCTGACCAGAGGGGTTGATTTTGCTGTGTAATTGCTTCTTCAGGTTATTTCTATGGATACCCGTTCAGTCCCTCTTTCTGTCTCACCCGGGTGTAAGCTTGCAGGTGAAGACCAGCAGCAGTGCTGTGCGACCTGAGGAGTGCTCATGTCCTACATTAATGTGCACTACGATTGTATACAGAATAAATGGAATATGATGATTATCCGGTGGTCCTGTCTTTTGTGTGGGCTGCAAAGAGACAACTGTCACATTTCAAAGTGAACTTCACTTTTTAGTTAGAATTGAAAGCCAGGCCAGCAATCACCAGTTCTCCTTGCACAATTCAAGCTGGGCTTCTTGCAACTTTTGTTTTCCAGGTCTCCCTCCCAGAAGGAATAAGGTCTATGTCATTATGTATTCTACCTGCAGCAATGGTTGCTGTCTTCCACCTGAAGAGTCTCACTGCAGTAACTTTAAAAATAAATAAAAGCGAGCGATGCGTGTCTCTTCGGGGCAGAGCCATCGATGACAGTTGATCATGAGGGTATAGGCCAGATTTCCATTGAGCTGAACATCAGGAGAGAATCACGAAGGTGCCTTGGAAATGGATGTGCTATGGATGTAGGCTGAACGTAGCAAGAATAGTCGTGGTCTCTGGAGCACCTGCCCTTTCAGACACGCTGTTTCCACCATGAGTAATTTAAGAGGCTAGTTTGGAGTGGTGGAATTTGGGTGCTGGTGGGAACGAGGTGCTTTTGCTAACATTGAAGATGTGGCTTCACTCTTCCTGGCCGTGCTGATCTGCTCTAGGCACGGGGACTTTCCATGGCTTCTCTGCCATCGCTCTGTGCAAAGAGTTGATCTGCTTGTTTTTCCAAACTCTACAGCAACTGAGCGCTAATCGTGCAGTAACATGCAGAGTTTAATTCCTTGGCTTATAAAACTCCCCCTGAAAACTCTTCCCGAGCAGGAATCGACTTAAGAAGAGCTCGTAGGGCCACCTGTGTCTTCCGAAGTGAGCGTGCCTTCGTGTGTGGTGTCTTTCCAACCCAAACCCGTGTGTTCTTTCCTTCAGGGTCGTTCCATGACTCTGAAATGCTGGAGGTAAGAACTGGAAGGGAAACAGAGGAGAAAATGCAACTGGTGATAAACGCATGTTATTACTTCCGTCCTATCCCAGGAAAACATAAGGAAACATTTTTCATTTCTCTTTCTAGGAAGACTTTGATAGCCCTAGCAAAGAGAAGTTGAAAATAGCGTGGCGTTTGCCACTGGTGTTTGACCTGGAGTTTTCAGAATAGTCCTTAGCACTGTGGGAAAACCTCTTGTGATGGGTGCATTTCCAAACCTCAGGTACGTGAGTGGACTCTGCAGGGAGGTGGGGCCATTCTGGGGTGTTCCAGGAGGTGATGTAGAGCTCCAGCGTCGGCTTGGGGTCTGGGACTGAGCAGGGTGGCTGGAGGTCTCTTTGGGAACTGCCGGCAAGAGAAGATCATCAGGAAGCGGCTGATCCTCGCCCTGGTTTGGGAGGTTGAATGTTAGACCTAGGGCCCAACAGTTTATTTCAGGAGCCGTTCTCATGGTTGCGTAGGAAAAGAGGAATATTTATTTTAATGTGGATGGAAGCAGTTCATCTGTGTACTATAATCTCTGTTTTGGAAATAAACCACTAAAACCAGCTCGTGCAGCACTGAGTAAAGGATACGCGTGCTTGTGTGCAGTTCATAAACACAGCTGCTTCGGACACGCGCGTGCCGTCGCGTGGTGTGCTTCCACCAACAGCTTTTCTTGGTTGGAGAACCGAAGCAGAAAACAATTGTGCTCCAGGCAAAGTGCGTATAGCTATTTTCAATTAATCACAGAGAGCAAGCCTGTTTAAATGATCAGGGAGGAGAGCTCAGATGGGATTCGGGACCTTCAGGAAGGGTTTTAGGTGGCCTGGTGCTTACAAAAGCAACAGACTTTAACGACCGGGGAAGCTCCTGGCAGTCCCGTATTCACGTTTATTAGGTTCTGTGCTTCCATTTGGTGAGGGAAATCGCAATATCTTGTGTCTGGGGCCGAGGAGCAGAAACCGGGGTGGTAAATTGTCCTGGAGTGGGGACCAGTCGCTTCTCTGTGGCTTTGCCACGGGTCGTGCAGAGCCTGGAGCAAACAAACTAGGAAATTCAGGGTGATGGCAACGCCTTTGAAAAGGTTTCTGTCCCCCGATGGCTCTGGGAGCAGGCAGGGGAGGTCTTCGGGTCACGAGGGAGGCTGGGTCCCACTTCAGAGCCGATTTCTAATCCTGCCAAACGCTCTGTCAAGAGCTACCAGCTTTTGGGAGGTGCTGCCCACCTCTGCAGTGACTGTTCGGTCTCTTGCTTTAGCCGGATTTGTTGGCTTGTGTTGAAAGTGCTTAAGCCCTCCGGACGGCCAGGACGGCTGCAGCTCACGGCTCATCTCCGTTGTTGGTTCTGCCCCGCCGCGGTGTCCCGGGACAGGCGGTGGGGTTGGCCGTGGGCTGCAAAGGGGAGCGGTACCCCTCTGGGAGGGACGGGGTTCCCTGGCTGGGGCTGTTGGCACACGGGCTGGGCCGCTGCACCAACGCTGAAAAGAAACCGAAAGCGAAGGAGGGGAAATGCCCCGAGGAGACGTGCTGGCCTGGAGCGCGGGGGTACGTGCTGTCGGGCGGGTCCTGCTCCGCGTAGGGACGCGACGTCTCTGATGTCAGAAACCAGCGATCAAGGATTTACGTTAGACGACGTGCCTCACCGAAGAGCTGCTGTCTAACTTTGGGTCAAGAAATGCCAAAAGTAGAATGTGTCTGTGCGTGCTGTAGAGGGCACCTTATTCCTTTGTCTTTTGGCAAGGCTGAGTCCCCGTGGGGACCTGCAGATAACACTCCGTATATTGACGTTTCGATAACTGCTCTTTGCTTTCAGCCAGAATTTGCTTTTTATCCAATCTTAATAAGTTGATCTTTCTATCAATCCTGCTAGCAAACAAGATAATTGCTTTATTATAGTCTCAATATCCAGCAAAGGACACACACTCCCTGGTGCTCCCGAGGGAATAAAATCTGTGCAGAGCGTTGACACGGGATGAGCGCCGCGATAGCGCCGCTGGGCTATCGGCAGATGATGGAGAGCGCGATTTCCGCGCCGTGAAGGGCCAGGCTGCTCGGGTCGGGAATGCAAGTGGGGCCGGAGGAGGTCTAGAAAATATTTAGGTTATAACTGGCAACGTTTTGGTCTGTTTGCTAGAAAATATTTAGGTTATGACCAAAAATGTTTTGGTTCGTTTGCTAGAAAATATTTAGGTTATGACCAAAAACGTTTTGGTCTGTTTGGGTGTTTGTTGGCAGTTTGGGAGGTCTGTGTTTGTGGTTCTCTTTTTTTTTCACTGAAGAAAAAAAAAAAAAAAAGCAAATGAGAAATTTCCTGAGTGGTTCGAGGACCCGGTGGGTGGGTTAAACCCCGAGGGCTTCCTCTGCGGGCGGGTTAAACCTCCCCCGTGCAGCGAGGCATAGCACCTGCCTTTTAACGCAGGGCGGAAAGGGAATCGGTTGTTCCACAGAATTACAAAAAAAAAAAAAAAAAAGGAAAAATATGTGATTTCTGTCCAAAATGGTATGAAAGCAGAAGCAGGATTGAGGTCTATGACATATGGAAATGAACTGTACCTGGGGCAGAGGACGGTGAAGGACCGGGAGCTGATGAAGAGCTGGAGAAGGACAGAGCAGACGAAGACGTGGAGGACGGACCAGAAGGCAGAACAGCGCCGGAAACCACCTACGAGAAAGCAGAAGAAACCTCGTGGTCTCACCAAGCCCCTGGGACGGGGGCAGCGGAGCAGCCAGCTCCAGCTCTTTGCCCTGGAAAAGCCTCGACGCCAGCAGCCATCCCTCCTCCGCGCCAGAAGGTGCCCGCGGGCGGGCGGCGGGGCTGGCCGGGCGGAAGAACGGCAGACAAAAAGTCCGACGCGTTTCCATCCTGCGCCAAGAGCCGCGAGCGCCTTTTGTTTTGGGAAAAGGTTTGAACAGGTTTTGACGAACACAGATAACGCCCCACCACGGTGACGTTTGGGTCACTCCTGGCTTTGCTGTGATAAGAGCTGGCCTCTTATCGGATGGTAACACTTTGATCTCGCTATCGAAGACGTCTGTTGCTCTATTCTCACCTGAGCGCCTCGCTAAGGACAAAAACTCCTCAAAATCCTCGTGGCCCAAAATACAAAGAAACCCTTGAAGCCGGGGGTGCGCGTGGCGGTAATGGAAAACGGAGGTCAGGAGATAAGGGGGGGTCACTGCTTCCCGGTATAAACCCGGGGAGGCCGGGCAGCTCAACCTACCTGCTGCGGTCTCCGAGAGGGTGTGTGTGGACCCGTGGACAAATCCTGCACCATGAAGTGGTTCGTCCTGGCCCTGGCGTGCCTCCAGCTCTCCGAGGGGCTGGTGAGGTGGGTGTCCTGCGGCAGAAAGAGCGGGGAGAGGGCAGGTAACAGAGCCCGGCTGCAGCTGGAACCTGCCCAGGCTGCACGGCGTCCCCGAGGATGCTGACCGGCTCTGACTCCAGCCTCCCGCATCTCCACAGACCATCGTAGTCCCAGTCCAGGCTGCATCCCTCGCTGGGAGGGCGGCCGAGCAGAGGGCTCCCATCGGGGCAGGGTTCAAAGGAGCCCGGAGAACTGAGTTTTTTGAAAATGCACAAATCTTCTCCTCATTTCCTGCTGGGTTTTGGGTTTTTTTCCCCCCTCTGTGCAGAATCAAACTGAAGAAAGCCAAGTCTATACGGGAGAAAATGAGGGAGGCTGGAGTGCTGGAGGACTACCTGAAGAAAATTAAATATGATCCGGTTAAGAAATACCACTTCAGTGAGGACTATGTTGTGTATGAGCCGATAACCAACCACCTGGATGTGAGTACCCCGGGTTCCCCTCCCGCTGCCTGTCCATCCCCACGCTCCCCCTTCCCTCTGCCCCCCCCGCTGCGGAGGGATCTGTTCCCCCGTGAGCCCCTCGGACGGAGAGATGGCTTTTTGCCCCACTCTTTTTTAAGCTTCTGTCTTAGACTTTAGAAAAGTTTTCCCCCAGCCATGAAAAGCAATGCTTTTCTATTTGTACCAAGAGGCCTAACAAAAGAAATATCTAATATTACATCTTTTGGGAGAAAAAGCAAGGTGAGAGAGCAGTCTGTTCCTGCCTACTTTGTTACTTGCGAGAGTGCGCCTGGCATTCCCGACACCCTGCAGAGCGCTGGGATGCCGGCGCAGGGCTGGGAGGCGAAAGCCTGATCCGTCGCTGACCCTGTGGCCAACGGAGATACCCCGTCACTTGTCTGCAGTCCTCCTACTTCGGGGAGATCAGCATTGGGACCCCACCACAGAACTTCTTGGTGCTCTTCGACACCGGCTCCTCCAACCTGTGGGTGCCCTCCACCTACTGCCAGGCGCCGGCGTGCTGTGAGTACCGCGGCCGCGTTGCACGGAGCTGCCCCAGCAGCACAGCGTAGCGCGATTGCACGGGGGACATCGCGATGCCAGACCATAAATGATCCCGGCACGCTGCTCCGGTGTAGCTGCTCCCCAGTACCGGCTCCCCAGTACCGGCTGGTGCCTTGCCTGGGAAAGAGAGTCCTCTGCCCTTGTGTGCCTGGCTAATGCAGATGGCCAAATCGCTACGGCCATCGTGGGCGTCCCCAGCGTGCAGAAACGGCGGTGGTTGTGCCTGACCTTTCGTGGCCAGGTGGAGGGGAGAGCAAAGCTACGAATCCTGGAGCTGATGTCCCGCTCCCCAGCAGAGCTCATCTGGCGCAACCCGCTGCCGGCGGGAGAGCGATGGGGAATTAACTGCTGATGGCTTTGCTCTCGCTGGGTGGCTGATGTGGTTGTGATCACAACAGCTGTTCCCTTGAGAGGGGCACAGGCAAAACTGGGATGCAAACCCTGCCTCAGAGATAACTGCGAGGCAGAGGAGCAGCCCGTTCCGCTCTTCACGACTTGCTCTCTGCCAGGGAAGCCGCTTTCCCAGGCATTATACTGGCAGAGCTACCGGCGGGGGAAAACTGGGCGGGGCTCCCGTCGGTGAAATCCCGCCGTGGCCAGGCGAGCGTGCGCCCAGGAGCTTTGCCCTCTTCTCTCTCACGCAGTCAATCACGCGAAGTTCAAGCCCAGCGAGTCCTCCACCTTCATCTACGACGGCCAGTCCTACAACATCTCCTACGGCAGCGGCGCGCTCACGGCGGTGCTGGGCTATGACACGCTGAGGGTGAGGGCATCCACGGCTGTCCTTGTCTTCCTGGGCACCCCAATGGAAAGAGCCTGGGGGACAGCTGAAGGGCAGATCTCGTGTCTTGTGTAGACAAGACTTGGGCAAACCAGGGCCTGGGCTGGGCAGAACCGATATAAATTGGTTATTGCCACTGTCAGTTACCCAGGTGGGATTTTACTTTCTTTTAACCCAATTCCCGCTAATTTTCCCAGCTGCCTGGAGATGCTTTCACCAGCTGTGACTTTGCAGTGGGCTTGTTGGGTTATCAGAGCATCAGTCATCCCATCCGACGGCTGCTCGGGTTTCCCTAAGCCTGCAGGCTGACGTGGCGTCCCCTTCCCCTCCAGATCCAGAGCATCGCAGTCACAAAGCAGGAGTTCGGGCTCAGCAAGAACGAGCCAACCCAGCCTTTCTACTACGCCGATTTTGATGGGATCCTGGGAATGGCCTACCCCTCGCTGGCGTCGGGAGGGATGCCCACTGCGCTGCAGGGCATGCTGCAGCAGAACCAGCTCACCCAGCCCATCTTCAGCTTCTACTTCTCTCGGTAAAAATCTGCCAGGGCCCTCTGCACATCCCACGTGCACTGGTGTCCCTCTGCCTGTCCCCATGCAGGTTCCTTGGGAATTTGTCCCTTGCTGGCCCATGCATATCGCACCAATTTACTGATCTCTGCTGCTGTAACTCTGTTTTTGCAGCCAACCCACCTACAAGTACGGGGGAGAGCTCATTCTCGGAGGAGTTGACGCTTGGCTCTTCCATGGGGACATTATGTGGGCACCGGTGACCGAGAAGCGTTACTGGCAGGTCGCGCTTAATGAGTGAGTTGGGTTTGTACCTGATGGGCACGATCTACCCAGGCAGCTCATGTAACGAGGGCATTTCAGCCGTCCTCCAGATGCAGCTGCAGCTCTTGCAGCCGGCGTGGGCTGGAGGCAGGGGTTAGGCACTGTGTTCAGAGCACCCCAGACTTACAGATCCAGCCAAGACAGGTTTACGTGCCAGTGGGTGCTTAAAGTGACGTCCTTCTCCCCGTTCGCCTCCCAGGTTTGTTATTGGGCAGTCAGCAACAGACTGGTGCAGCCGGGGCTGCCAGGTCATCGTGGACACGGGTACGTTCCGGCTGACGGTGCCCCAGGAGTACGTAGGCAGCTTCCTTCAGGCCACGGGCGCCCAGCTGACCAGCTACGGTGTAAGTGCAGGGGATGCTTTGGAGGTGCCACGGAGCAGCAGGGATCCTTCAAGTGAGCCAGAAGCTGTGGGCTTGGCCAGATCCTGCAAAACTCATGTGGCATCTACAGAGCAGGGTGCTGTGGGCATGTCCGGGAGGTGACGGGGCACTGCCAGGGGATAAAGTGTGGGTTACCCCCACATAGCAGGGTATCTCTCCTCTCGCAGTGGGTGCTTTGCCAGCCATAACCTCCTCTTCACCCTGTCTCCGCAGTATGCAGTTGACTGCAATGAGATCCACAACATGCCCACCATCACCTTCATCATCAACGGAGCTCGGCTCCCACTCCACCCGTCCGCCTACGTCTTGAACGTATGTATTAGCCGAGCAGCTTCATCCTGCTGAGTCCCTGAGGGCCAGGAAAGGACCTGGTGCCTCTTTACAAGTAGTGGTGGTTTCCCTATCCGTGCGGGCAGGGTCCTGATGCTCGTTTGGGGCTCTGACTCCCCGTTATTCCCCCTTACAGAACAACGGCTACTGCACTCTTGGGATTGAGGCCACCTACCTGCCTTCCCAGAACGGGCAGCCGCTCTGGATCTTGGGTGACGTCTTCCTCAAGGAGTATTACACTGCCTTTGACGTGGCCAACGACCGCGTTGGCTTCGCTCCATCGGCATAGAGGAGTGGAGCGGTGAAATCCAGCCCCTCTCATGGACAAACACACCTTAGCCAGCATTGCTAGAGCGCTACGGGGTTCCTACGGACCTTTATGTTCCTTTACGTGCCTGCGCGGCTCCCTGTCGCTCCGGGATTTCTGCGTAAGTGTGTTCTTACAGTCTCCTGTTACAAATAAACCCCAACATCCCAAATTGCCTCTGACCTTCTGAGTTTGTTGAGTGACGACTGAGCACAGACTGATGGGTTGTGTGTCTCAGCTGCTCTTTTTCCAGCAAGGTAAGCACCATGATAAATTCCTAAACAGATTTCTGCAAAGTCAGCGTGGGGAAGCTGTCCCTGGTTCAGATCTAAAGTCAAAGTATTTATGTTTCTCACAAAGAGGTGTGACATGCTGTTGACTCCTAACAGCTGTGGGACCGAGTCTCAGCCTTTACCTATAGTGAATTATTGAGCTCGTGCTTGGTGGTGGCTCTGATCAATGCAGCAGCCCCGAGCTGCAGCTCAGCTCACAGCCCGACGGGCGCAGGGACGGGAGCGAGCAGTCCTTCCCCGCGCTGGTGCCCGGGGTTGCTCCTGCAGACAGGGCAGCACAGCTTCCCGACCCCTTGGGCATGAAGATGTCCCACAACGCAGCCCTGTCCCCTCCGCAAGGCTGGTGCGACTCAGCGGGGACTGCAGACCCTGCGTTGGAAAGCAGGCAGGTGCCGTCCCCCAAATCCCGGCTGCTGCCTCAATGAGGGACAAGCCCAGAACGAGGGTCCTGAGCCTGATTCCTACAAGGGATTTGCTTTGCAGGTGAGAAGCACCACACACCAGGCTGCGGTGAAGGAGATCGGAACACCAAAAGGTCACCGGGGTTGGTGTTAAACACCTGCCACGGCTCTGGGGCAGGAGTTTCCTGAGGGATTCCCCAAAAAGCCAGTTCTGCTCTGTGCCATCAGGCACTGGTGTGTGTCTGGAAACGTCGTGCGTGTCCCGAATGGGGTGGTACGGCTTCATCTTCCTCCAGCCGCCGCTTGCTGCCGGGCTGCACTACACGACTTCAGGGGGATGCTCACCAGCACCTACTCAGGCAGATACGGAGTTAGCCGGTGGTGGTGGACATTGCTTTGCTAGCAGTTTGTGGTGACCTTGGAGTGACCGCGGGGACACGCTGTCCTGTCTCTTGCTGCTGCTGGTACTTGCAGGGCTGAACCGATCGCTCCAACCAGCCGAGGATAAAGCCACGGGGCCGGCGGGTCCCCACCTCTGTCCCTCTTGCTGGGCATCAGGACACCTCCTCAGAGGTGCATGTGGGAAGCCACTAATCTTCCTTGCAGCTGGATAAGGTTTAACGAAGTCCTGTGATTAAGTCAGAGTGGGAATATGAGTCCAGATTAGGTTGGCCATGACATCCAAATGACCCCTAAATCCTGAAGCGGGGCTATTCAGTCAGGTAAAAGAACAGCCGGAGCATCGGGAATCGTGGTCTGTGGCCGAAGGGGATGGGGAACACCTTGGCCAGGGAAGACTTGGGTAACGCCGCTCTTTCCCAGGATCCAAACTCATTTCTTAGAAGCTCTTTATCATCGGAGCTCTTTATCAGATATATTAATAGCTCTGTCATTTCACCAGTGAAAGGACACAAACTCCTCAGTGCTTTGTGTCAAAATATTGACACAGGCTGAGCGCAGCGAGAAGGAGATTAGACAGGCACGGATAGCAGGGGAGGGTGTTTCTCCTCCCCTACAAAATGGGGAGGTTTCCGAGAGCTGAAGCTGCTCTGGCAGCAGCGGTGGCAGGAGGGGACAGGCGAAGGCTGACCATGTCCCCGCTGCTCTTTGCTCTTCCCTTTGCTCCCTGCAGGATCTGTCCAAGCGAAGGCAGATCCATCAGGATGCAATGGCAGAGGAAGGGGTGCTGGAGGGTTTCCTGAGCCGCCACAGGCTCGAGGCACGGGTCCAAAGCCAACAGCTCGGATGGGAGCAGCGAGGCTCTGCCAGGGTCCATCCCCACTGTTAGTGGGAACGGGGGAGTCCGCAGGTGCCCTGCCAGGGGAGGAAAGGGGCTCCAGGACTAGGAATCCCCTGCGAATGAATGCCTAAATACGTGCTCCCCTGCATCTCTCCAGCCTGGGTACGACCAGCATCACTCAAAGCGTATGGCAGACATCCTCTCCGACGCACCAGATGTGTGACCTGGGCATCCTCAGCGTAACTCTGACACGGATGATAAACTGCAGCAAATCAAAATGTCTTTTGGAGATGGTGGACTGGCTGTAACTGGGCAGGCAAAGGCCTGTTACGCCTTTCAGGGCTGCTATACCAAGCAGTTTCTAGCCCCCGTCTCAGCTTTTGGGGGGTATTAGCAGAGGTGGAAGGCAGAAGGGGCAGGATGACAAACGGACAATTGCCTGGAAAGAGACATTTTTGGGGGTGTGTGCTGATTCCCGGGAGGCTTGGAGCTGGGCTGGAAAACCCACCCTGCCGCGTCCTGCTAGCTGTGTTGAGGATGTAACACGGTCTGTAGACTTGGACGGAAGAAATACTGCTGGCCCGTGGCACTTCCTTGGCTGCCTGGATGGGTCAGAAGAGGAAAACCAGCACCATAAATTTCCATTTGCTATAAAGGGTGTGTTTTGCCTTTGTTTTCTGGAAAGATCAACCTGGTGCTGAAGGCAAGAGAAAACACTTTAATTTCTTGATAACAACAGAATTTTGCTTTTTATCAGATGTCCCATATTTGGTCTCGGTATCAGAGGTACCGGCCAATCTGTTAGCGCCTGGACAGCCGGGTAAGGAGGCAAAATCAGGGCGGCTGCGGTGATAAACGCACCGCAAGCGTTGGCGTTGGGTGGGTGCAGCGATAGAGGAAAGGGGTGTCTGGAGGCAGGGGCTGGGCACGGCTCCCGGCTATATACACCCTGTCCTGGCCGGGGAGGTGCAGGAGCTGCCCTGGAGCCACCAGCACCCGGGGCCATGCGGTGCCTGGTGCTGGTCCTGCTCTGCCTCCGGCTCGGGGAGGGGATAATGAGGTGAGCCCCGGGGCCAGGATGGGTGCGAGGGTGCAGGGTCCGGCCGCGGAGCAGGGCTCATCCTTGGTACGTGGGGTTGCACACGTGGACGGGGCCACCCGGCCACTCAGCATCTCGCTGCCGTCTCCATCCCACGCAGGATCCCCCTGAGGAAAGGCAGGTCCGTGCGGGAGGTGATGAGAGAGAAGGGGGTGCCGGAGGGTTTGCTGAAGGACCTCAGAGGGGACCCCGGTAGGAAATACCAACTCGGTAACGCTGTGGCTTATGAACCACTAACGAACTACCTGGATGTAAGTATTAAAGCTTTTCCTTCCTCCTCTGAGCCTTCTGGCTCCAGGTTTTGGGGATGCTCTCCTCCTTCCCTGGCTGCCTGCGGGAAGCTCTGCAGCGGGTGGCTCGGCTCCCTCCCCACTCCCGAGTCGAGGGGCTGTGCTGGGCACGGGCAGGAGTTTTCCTGTCTTGGTAGCCCGGCTCCAAGGGCTGGGTGATATTGGGAGACGAAGGCGGGAGGCAGCATGCCTTACCCTGAACTGATTTCCCTTCTCAGAAAAAGCAGAGTTTGACGGTTACAGGGCAGATCTACCACTCCTGGCCTTGCTGCTGACTTTGTTATGTCCTAGGCAAATCATTGCCCCTTTCTGCGCTCTAGCTGCCCTGGATGCACTCGAGGACCACGAGCCCTTCCTACAACCCCTTAGCAGTTTGGTTTTCTCAGCTAGCAGAGGGCAGAGCAATGAAAACTTTCATTCAAATACCAAGCAGAAACATAAATTTCTTGTTCACAGTCCTTCTACTTTGGGGAGATCAGCATTGGGACCCCCCCGCAAAATTTCCTGGTGCTCTTTGACACCGGCTCTGCCAACCTGTGGGTACCCTCCACCTACTGCCAGACTCCAGCCTGCGGTGAGCATCCCTTGGGGGACACAGCAGTGCTGGGGGGGGCCGGGGCTCCCCACCCATCGGCGCTCTCGGACATCCCTTGCACGCTGCGGGCTGGAGCTGTGCCGGGGAGATCAGTGAGAGCCGATGAGGTTTGGTGTTTGCTCTCTGCTCGGTGACACCGGTGGGGCTGGTTCTGCGAAGCCCCTTGCTGGGGATTTCTGCCCGTGTGGGGACAGGGATGCTGAACGGAGGGCAGGATGTGACCTGGGGGCTGTGACCTTCTCTCTGTGCAGTGAATCGCGCCAGGTTCAACCCCAGCCTGTCATCCACCTTCTCCGGCATCGGTGTGACCTACACCCTGAGCTACGGGTTCGGTGACCTGTTGGTGGCGTTAGGGTACGACACCGTGACAGTAAGTGACTTCTGATGCGCGGCTGCCATCAGGCTAAGAACCGACTGAGGTTGTGATCAGTCCAATTAGGTTAAAAATTCAGGGAGTAGCTGAAAGGACCTTCTTATTTAGGGTATTAGTGCCTGAATTTCCCACACAGAGTTTATGGTGCATCAGCATAAATTTACTTGGAGACTGGGATCTGCAAACAGACTCAGTTCAAGTCCTCTGGGCTTTTCATCACGGCTTTGGGCTAAGGGATGTCTTTGGCCGTAGGTGTTTGCTTTTTACACTGATGGCTGAGCATTGTCGTTACAGGACGTAAGAAATGTTCTGTTGTGAGACTTGCACACTGTGAAAGTACGATTTTAAACTAATTTAACTGAGGCAAACCCTTTTTGGGGGTATTTTTGTGAAATAATAAGGGGGATGGGACAAAGAATATAGGCCAGGCTGCTCCCGACTCTATCCCCCATCTGCGATGGGGAAGAGCTCAGCACCTCTCAGTGCAGATGTGCCTTCGTGACCTTCCTGGCCATCCCAGCCTCTTCCCAAAAACTCCCTGGTGGGATGTTGCTGTCAACGGGGATGTCCAAAACGCCGACATCTCCCAGCATCTTTCCTCCTCCTCTAGATCCAGAACATCGTCATCAGGAACCAAGAGTTTGGCCTGAGCTTGGATGAGCCCAGCAGACCCTTTTACTACTTGGACTTTGATGGGATTTTGGGCATGGCTTACCCGGCCGTTGGCATTGGTGGTTACAACACCCTGATGCAGAACATGCTGCAGCAGAGGCAGCTCGCCGAACCCATCTTCAGCTTCTATTACTCGCGGTGAGACCTCTGATGGCGGGTCTCGCTTGCACAGACACAGCCCGGATCCGTCCTTTTCTTCAGTCGCTCTCCAGCCACACGTTCTCCCCAAGCACCTGTACGTTACCCCGCTTTCCACTGAGCAGCCTGTCTGATCTGGGGTTTAACTTTGTGTCTTTCCAGCAACCCAACCTATAGTTACGGCGGGGAGGTCATCCTTGGAGGGGTTGACCCCCAGTTGTACTCCGGGGAGATTTTATGGGCTCCTGTGGTCCAGGAATTGTACTGGAAGATCGGGATCGAGGAGTAAGTGCTGTACCATGGCTTGGAGGCGGTCGTGGAGGGGGAAGCCTTTTCTGATGCCTTTTCTGCTGCTCTCTCCAGGTTCTCCATCGTGCTGACCGTCCCAGGACAATTCATGTCAGCCTTCCTGCAGGCGCTGGGCACGGAGGAGAGCGACTACGGGGTAGGTGGGAAGGATGCCATGGGATGAGGAGGCATCAGGTGGTGACACTGATCTATGGAGGGCTCCCAGCATCTCTGGAGCAAAACATCTCACCTGAAACCACACTGCAGTGGCGTATCCCCACTTGCAGGCTGACCGTCCCAGGACAATTCATGTCAGCCTTCCTGCAGGCGCTGGGCACGGAGGAGAGCGACTACGGGGTAGGTGGGAAGGATGCCATGGGATGAGGAGGCATCAGGTGGTGACACTGATCTATGGAGGGCTCCCAGCATCTCTGGAGCAAAACATCTCACCTGAAACCACACTGCAGTGGCGTATCCCCACTTGCAGTGGTGTAAAATAAAAGTAATTCCTTTAAACGTGATAAACCTGGGTTAGTGCAGGGCTGGGAGCACGGTAGGGGTTACGGCTGGAGGAAGGATGGTGCCCAGCCCTGGGGGTCCTGACCCATCTGCCCCTCTTCACTTCTTTTGCAGTTCATCGTCGACTGCAGCAACATCCCGAGCATGCCCACCCTCTACTTTGCCATCAGCGGAGCCCAGTTACCGCTGCCTCCCTCCGTCTATGTCTTAAACGTGAGTGTGGTTTTATCATTCCCAGTGCGCATCTGCCATCGTAGGGCAGTTTTCCCCAGGAAAAAGTCCAAGTTTCTTTTCAAACGCAGAGGCTTCCAGCAGCCTGAGTGCCGTATTTCCCAGCACCCCATTTCACTGTGCTTTTGCATGCCTGTACGTGACTGTAAAGAGGGTCTAATCCTGCTCCCAGACAAAGCAGCCGTGAAGGCATGGGCAGCACATGCTCCACGCTCCTCACCAGCACTGAAATGTGCTCCTTTTTCCCCGACAGAACAACGGCGTCTGCACCGTTGGGGTCGAGAGCACGTACGTGCCCTCTGCCAGCGGCCAGCCGCTCTGGATCCTCGGCAACCTCTTCCTCCGGCAGTATTATTCCATCTTTGACATGGCCAACAACAGAGTTGGCTTTGCCCTGGCAACCTAGGGAGGCCGAGAGGCTGCAGCTCTCCGATGTCCGTGCAACACCTTACCTTGCCGTGAACCAGCATACGGTGATGAGTAGTTGCCAAATCTCCTGTAGCGAATGAAGGGCTGCAAATCTAACTGCCTCGTGTCTCGTCTGCCTGGGGCTGAGCAGGATTGGGCAGAGCTGCTCTTAATAAACCAACAAAGTCTGAGTTCATGCTCCAGGTTTCCAGGTGCTGCCGGGGCTGGGGGTTTCAGCTGTGCATAGAAACTGTGAATTTGCAGCGATGACAAATTTGGGGTCGCCTTTTTGATTGGGACTCGGCTTCCCACTGGGGCTGGCTGGGAAACTGGGATGACTGGGAGAAATTCAGGCTGTGCCATGAGCTCAGCTGCGGCTCAGGGACCCCAGGGCTGAGCTGGTGCGGTCGCTGGAGGCTTCAGAAACCAGTTTGGAGCAGGATGTGCAGGGACGAGGAGCTGCGTGTGAACGGCGCTCTGTTCATTAGGTTTGGGGGAAATGCCCACACGTATTTGCAAATAAATTAGGAATTAAAAAGTGTCATGCAAGGAGACTCAGGCTGAGGAAAACGCCCTGGTTTTGTTCTCGAGGGGTAAATCTCTTCATTGCTGCTGCCTTGAAGGATGGGCGATGAGAAGTAAGGAGGTGTCATGCCTGGGACACGGATGTGACCAAAGCTTGGGGTGTCTGGATTCCCTCCCAAGAGGAGCTGCTGGATGCAGCGTCAGACACATCTGGCAGCACCGCGTGGCCGAACGGGACCCAAGAGGCTGGTCCTTGAGGTCCAGCACAGGGCGATGCACAGGAGATGCAGCGCTGAAGGGCCCATCGCCCATTGTCTGACACCCATCTCCTGGTCAGATGACAGTCACCCCGCCGGGGCACGTGACCGGCTGTTAAATCTGCTGTTTCCAGCCAAATCTGCCATGGCGGGTCCTGCAGAACGGGGAGCTCCCAGCCACGGAGAGGGAAAC